CTATGCAGCATAATTTATCAAAAACTTCTACTTAAAGCACTTGCAATGACCTTCAACTCGACATTCAGATATTTTGACGACATTTTAAACGATAAAATGCTTTCTTTGATTGTTGATATGGGAATTAATGTTGCAGCTATATTGCAGAAAAAATACGTAACCCGCGTAAGATGGCTATGTAATTTTAAATGCGATAGCTGCAACATTTTAAATTCCCAAACTAACAAACAAAAAAGGATATTTTATAGTTTATATTCATATCTGTACAAAAAAAAATCATCTAATGTAGGATGAAGTAGATTAAATTTTGTATTTTTTTTTATATGTACGTCATTGTACGTTTCATTGATGGAAGAGCCTCTGTTCAAGAAATCTTTACAGGTGATATGCTTATTGCTCTTTACTGACTGATAAACAGCAATGGTGTTCTTAAGAAATAAAGGAGAAGATATTCAGTGAATGTAAATATTTATCAATTAACAATAGTTACTTCCATTCATATGTCGACTCAAGATATCCCAGTGAACTTGAAATAAAAGAGTCCGCAACTTTTGTATCATATTGGATGTTTTACTGACTATATATAGATGATTAATGTCAAGTAGCAACTATATTGTATGACAAGTGAAATGACTTAGGTTTCCATCGTCAACTTTCCTTCTTGGATATTTTCGGTTGGGTGAACTTCTACATGTACAGCTATTAGTGACTAAAAATAATTAAAAAAAAAGGGTTTGGAAACCAGAAATGCAAAAATGTAATAACTATTATAAATGAAATTAGTTACTGGATACATTAAATACTGAATTTTTTAATGGCTCAAAACAGAAAGTACTGCCTAAATGTATCATATTGAAATTGTATTTAAAAAAACTTTTGATAATGTTCATACTGTAATATGTGAGACCTTCGTGGTAATTCTATATTGTTAGCGTTCATAAATTTACAAAGCTTAAGCAACATTTATTATGCCTTATCTTAACTCAGATTTGGTTTACAAAATTTTTAGTATTACCTTTCGTTTTTGATAACATCCCTTATTTTCGATCATTTGATTACAAATTTAATTCTCTAAATTCCGTCGTAAATATAGTAAAATAATGCTTTATATTAAACTACAACTGTTTATAATTACCAGTAATTGTATTCTGTTCAGTATAAACGCATTCTTTTGTATACATCTATGTGAAATCGTCATTTTACCGCTCGCGAACTACTGTTTACTTTAACGATATGTTTTCTTTGTCTGACTGACCGTTTAACTACTTATCTTGACACTTGCGATTCTGCTGCCTGGTTTTTCATTATTTAACTAATATGTTGTATATTATTTTTACCTTGAATTATTGTAATATAGTTCTGACCACAGGTCAAACTTTACAACAAAATATAGTCCAGGCTATAACCTTAGAACCTTTTGATATTAGGATTTCATACTTAAATTGTAACATAGAGGGAAAACATTTACACAAGATGCACCAAAGTTTTGACCTTGACTTCTTTCTTCATTCAAGGTCAAATTGAGAAAAAACACCTCCAAACCATAACTTAAGAACCCTTTGACATTATAACTTCAATCTTGGAACATGGAGAGATGGTATTGAGAAAGAGTGCATGCCAACAACAGTTTTTATCTTGATCTTTTTGTAAAGTCAAAGTCAATCTTTTACATGAAAATAGAATTCAGGACATAATCTGAGAACCCTTTGACATTATGAATTCATATTCGGAACATTGATAGAAGACACTGCCACAAGATTTGCTGCATCAAATGTAAGAGGAATTCTGGGAACCAGGGGTTAGTAGAAAAACATCATTTTCGACCCCCTTTGACTCGAAGGGTGAAAATGAAAATTCCGAAACCTTCTTGCACATCTACAGGACACCAACAATCATCTTCCGAAAGATGATTAGGCTACTGCGTAAAATGCAGTGGGAGTTCTCGTAACCAGGCTTTTGTAGAAAAAAACGTCATTTTTTGATCCCCGTTTTGCCCCCAGGGTGAAATTGAAAATTCCAAAACCTTATTTCACATCTATAGGACACCGCCTATCATATTCCAAAATATCAGTTGAATTCTGCTTAAAATGTAGCAGTAGTTAGATTAAGAAGAAAGTGTGACAGTCGGACGGACGGACGGACGGACCAGGGTAACAACAAGTTACCCGAACTTTCCAGAGAAAGTGCGGGTATAAAAAGTGTGTGTGTTGTTGCATGGTTTATCGTGTAAGGTCTTTATCCAATACTTATATAAATCTGAAAGTATTAATAGTGAAAATCTGGTGTAAGGTACTTCTTACAAATAACTGTATTCTTATATCTTCTTTTGGATACCCTTTTCATGATTGTGAAAATGAATTATACTCGAAACTTGATCGGACAAGGTGATCTTAGGAATTAATTTCTGTAGAATGAGATTCGGAATATTTAGATCACTTAAGATTTTATTAATCTTATAATAAAATTTATATCTTTAAACGTGTAAAGAAAGATTGTTTGATACCCAGTTTAGGATTGTAACGCATATTTTGAAAATTTAAAGTATCGTCGGCGGAATTTTTTTGAAAATATTTTATTTGAAATACAGAGTTAAATTATACAAACATAAACATATATATGAACATAATCTTGTCATAGTAGTATTCATTTAAGAGAGAGAGAGAGAGAGAGTGTGTGTGTTTGCGGGTGAGTTTATGTGTGTATGTGTGTGTGTGTGTGTGTGTGTGAGAGAGAGAGAGAGAGAGAGAGAGAGAGAGAGAGAGAGAGAGAGAGGATGAGTGAAAACAAGAATGTGGGTAAAAGATAAAAAGAGGAGGAAGCAAAGCTAATTAAAAACAGGGTTCATTAATGTAAGCATGTCGTATGAAATGCCATTTTTGCCAGGGGGTGTTAAACTTATTTATTTTTGCATTTCTTGCCTGAATTTCAATGAATTTTAAAGAAATTTGAAGTGATTATGAAAACCATTGATAAACTTTTGACAAATATTGTCAATTACATAATAAAGCTAGTAACCTGAATGCACACTTAAAAAAATCATTATATAATAGCTGATGCATCTTGTCCTAGGTGTGATTACCATAATGAAGATAATGAACACTATTTTATGAATTGTCCAGCAGATAGCATGCAAAGAAATAAACTTAGAAAAACTTACATGGGAGTTCGGAGTTTTCGTATCAAACAAACTGTAACATTACAAATAATATGCAAGCATATATCAGGTTAACAAAACGTTTTTAAATACATTACATTTTGATATATATTCTTATATATTCTTATGTATATTCTTTTTACTATATGCTATTTACACAATTATGTGTTATGCTTAAATGATCTGGATTTGTGTGTGTGGGTGTATGTGAGGGTGTGTATGTGTGTGTTTACTTGTATTGTAATTTATAAATGCATTTATTTTGTAACCTTGACTTCTTGTATAGAGAGGGTATTTATAGGCATTGCCAATACTGTATAGACTGTAACTTCTTACTATTCAATATAATTCTTTGAAATTTAAGACACTGGTATGTATTTTAAGGCACTATAAGAATATAGATCTTAGAAATCTACAAAATACGTGCAAGCACGTGTGCTGAAACCTGATTGGCTAACGTTGTTAGTATTCATAACTTTCTTAGTTTTTAACGAAAGAAAATGAAATTCAGAGTATGTTTACTTAATATAAGTTCCTACATTATTCAAACATCAGAAATGAATATCAGGACATGCAGCCACGTATACTAATTTCTGACTGGTTAATATTCATATTGCTGTACTTTCTATGTTTTCATGAAATTCTTTGAAATCTGAAAGGGAGCTCTTTATAATGGCATTTTATGAGATGATGTACATGTATTTGGAAATTTTTGAAACCTCATGTACTTATATCTGATTTTTACTAAATTTGCTCATTATGCTATATTTGCATTGTTATTTCCCCCAAAACACTTTGGAAATATATTTTAAAAGTTTCTTATACAAAGATTTACTTAACTAATGAAACTGATAGGGAATGGGGCCATAAAAAATTGGGGATAGTCGGGGGAACATCTGTAATGGTTTCCGTTACAATAAGAGTTAGTTCATTTTGTCGTCGAAAATTATATAGAAAAGAAAATCTGGCTCTTTAAAATGCATATTTTTTTGCCCTAAAATATGTAGCTTTATTAGCATGAACTGTTTTTCATGCTTAATATCTGCTTCAGAAATCACGTAGATTAAACAAAGAAAGTTTTAAAATATATTACAGAAAAAAAGATTTTATTTTGCCAAAAATTACACGGCAAATGTACATATGTATAAATTATTGTTTTAAAAGAATTCATAGTTATACCCTATATATATATATATATATATATATATATATATATATATATATATATATATATATATATATATATATATATATATATATATATATATATATATATATATATATATATATATATATATATATATATATATATATGTGTGTGTGTGTGTGTATATATATATATACAGAGAGAGAGAGAGAGAGAGAGAGAGAGAGATTAATAGGGGAACGCATAGGTACTGTTACTCAATGTTTGGCATGTTGCGTTTATTCGAGGCTATATGTAGCTATTATAATCTAAAAATGTCAAAGCTTACTCTAAGTGAAAAAGAAACTGGTGTTCGTTACTGAGACGAAGTGTTGCGGCCTATTGTTCTTCCTTTCCGCCGTAGAGTTGGCGTACATTTTGAGTTTCAACATGACAATGCTCGACCCCACACGTCTCACATTAGCAGGGTTTTTCTGACGCAGAACAACATCATAGTGTTGCCATGGCTATCCAAATGTCTAGATCTTAATCCCATTGAACACCTCTGGGATGTTCTTGGGTGAGGGATCGTGATGCCCCACCCCAGACAGTTGATGCCATGTTCTAGGCTCTCCAAGAAGCTGAGATACAGAAGTTTATACAGAGTGTTCATCAACAGAAAGTGATCAGGATAAAGGGAGGTCACACTTGTTACTAAAATTTCACTTGGGATGCACATATTTAATGAAATATACTTCATCAAAATCCATTGACAATAAAGGAAATTTCACCATTAAAGGGGCCTGGACACAGTTGCATTATTTTTATTTTAAATTCCATTGCTCTTTCAAAAAATAAAACCAGTTAAATGAATTGAACTTACATGAATATTCTTAGAATTAAATGACAACGACATTCTTCTTTACATCATGTCTAACATCTGTTTTTGTAAACAGGGCATGAGCTCTGTTATTGTTCATGTTTACGTTTCACCGGGTGTGTTCAATTTGTTAAACTCTGCACGCATCACTGAGCACGGACTGACAGTAGTGGTGAGTTTGTTTTGCATTCTCACCATTGCTACTCTGAATTTTTTGGATTATAGTCTTAAAGTTTTTCATTATTACACAATAAAATTTCTACTTTTCATAAGTATTAAGGATAACGTTTACTTTGTGAAAGTGCAAAGATGTGTCAATCAAACGAGTCCCAAAATTCGTAGCTTTAATAATTTCCAGATAAAAGAAGTTTCTGAAAACGCTTTTATTATATTTCCATGTGAAATGCTAGAGCAACATACTAGTCACGATATTATACAGGAAATTTGAGAAAATATTAACTTCAAATCTGTGTCCAAGCCCCATTAATACATGGGTTCCCATAATAATTTCCATCAGTTTATATATAAGGCTGAACATGTTTAGCTATGTATAAGATAGATTCCCTATACGTTAATTCTTGGATTCCTTGTTCTAATTCACCTCATTTGAAATGAGTTTTGTTTCTTAAAGGTTCAAACACTCGTACAATGCAAAGTTAGAAACACACAAAAGACAAACAACAGCAGCTCAATTACAATTCATCATTTGAAAGTCTGTAGCAGAACAATTATTGTTGCTCAAAGGTTACATTGTTTTAGGAATTCTTCATCTCCAGAATAAAGCATATTCCTGAGGCAATTGCTATCAGCATCCCAATAATACAAAACGCAAAGGCAAAGTGATAGTCGAAAAGATTGGAATTAGCTATGTCTCCCTGCTTTACAGCATATATAACAATGGACAGTAGAGCACAAAAGGCTGAAAGGAGAGAAATAAGATGCAATTAATGAATTTGATTCAAATTCCGTTTTCATGGATGTTGTTGAAATATTTTATTAAGACTGCATGTTGTGAGATATCATGCTTTCTAAAGGGATTCTGAAAATGAAATAATTAAAGACTACAATAAGGAATGAAATTAAAATTGTACGGTATCAAAAGATTTTATTTTGAATCGGGATTTTATGCATGTGCTTGTTAGCTTGATATTATAGGATTCATAACCTACGGTATACAATCACAGTAAAGAATTCAATAATTTTCTTTTATCTTTGAATAATGATTTAAAAGGACTGTTGGTAAGGAATCCATGATACTACCTGCTTCCGTTTTGGAATTATTTATTACAGTCACTGTAAATTTAACACTTACCTCCCACAAACACTGCGCCTATGGCAGCAAATAAGATAATCTTTTTATCTTTCAGGACAAACAGTTTTAGAGCAGAACACACAACAGCAGCTAGATAGCAAATAAATGCAAGGACGGCAAACGCTTGTGAAGCCTTGAGCCAATCTGAAATATAATGAATTATTTGTGTAAAGTCATATTGTGGGAATTCTGTTAAGAGGAAGAATACCAAAAGAGAAAGCACGAAAAGGTTTCAATGTAATGTCATACAAATTGATTGGAATGATATAATTTTGTTTGTTGTGTGTGTGAGGGTGTGAGGGTGTTTTTAGTGTGTGTGAGGGTGTGCTTTTTAGTGTGTGTGTATATGTGTGAGGGTGTGTGTGAGGGTGTGTTTGTGCGAGCAAGCGAGGGTGAGGGTGTGTGTTTGTGTGTGTGTTTGAAAGATTAATCTAATTTATCTAAAATTCACAAGTTATCGATAAAATGTTCTTAGAGTTTTCAATTAAGAAGGAATTTATAAAGATAACGTATAGAATAAATTTTAGCTCTTTGGGAGTCTGTCGATTAGATTAAATGATATTGTATGAAATTCTGCGTAGTGGTATTTCAATCAACTTATGACCTCATAGACCCATAAAACAAGTTTTGCCTTTACCTGCTGGGTTTGTAATATCTGCACAACCACTAGAGAAGACACCACAGACTTTCCAAAGACCATAATGTACGGCTCGTGTAAAGCTATCTGAATTAATCCAGTAAGGTGACGCAAACCCGATAAGATGGAACACGAAAGCAATTATTGCCAAAATGAAGCCAATCAGCATAGCCTTGATCTCCATGACTTCAGTATTCAGTCCTGTTAAAAATATATCATCTTTACCTGTATAGCTTTTCAAAAAACATATTATATCATAATATGTAATGTCCTTAGAAAAGTTTTAACCTTTCACTTGGATACTGTAATTTTGCTTAGCAGACATTTACAATACTTATGTTAAAAAAAAATGAAATTCTTCTGAAAGTGGAATAAAGAAACTGAAATAAAATGAAAGCCTTTTCAAATATTCGTGTATAAGATATGTTTACAATGATATTTGAAAATGATGGATAACATTGAACGTTTTGAAATGTACACTGTTTAAAGCTATACATCTTACGGATCAAACAAATTGGCATTGTTTGATAACTGACGTTCCAATGAAATTGTATGCATTCAAAATCACCATTTTGTGTGTTTATCTTTATAACCCTTTCATCGATTTGCAATTTGGCGTCTCCCCTTTTAAATATAAATGGAGAAGGGACCTTAGCATTGTAGGGATGGGCTTTAAATGCCATAATTATTAAATCCTTTTGAACGTATCCAAAAATTTGGAATTCCACCAACCCACGCCCAGAAGATAAGCTTTATGAATAGAATTGCAAAATGATCAAAGTAATAAAAGGTGGGGTCAAAATAAAATCCATTTTTATGAAGATTGAATCAAAATCTTAAAGGAAAATATTTACATTTGCGGTGCTTTTCTACTAAGCCAACTGTGAAATTGATTTGAAAGCCATTTTTGTGTATACTCAAGCGTATAAATATACATGGAGAAACTCGCGTGAAAGTGACGTTGATAAAAATAGGACGATATAGGAAAACGAGAAAATCAAACATTTAGTATATTAAATTTTTTGGTGCATTTAAACATGTTAAATGTAGATGTAAGGAAAGTTTTCAGTGTGAATTATTGGTGTGTAAATCACACAGACTGCACGTAGGCATATTTTTCATGAAGCGCTAGTGCGCTTCATGAAATATGCCTACGTGACAAGTCTGTGTGATTTACACACCAATAACTTACACAAAACTTAAAAATATTCCTTAAATGACAAAAATATATAAAGTTTACATGTGCGTATGACTATAAAGAAAGTACAGGTGAAACTTTTACATTGTATAACTGGCAGTAAATGTATATGTTGCAATATATCCAAATTTAATATTTCTGATTTTTAAATGATGAGTTTTAGAATTGCAAATTTTTATCCTTAGTACATATATCAACGATTCTAAAGTAACAAGATTTTAACTGGACAGCATTAGACTGCATATCATATATGGCACTGATTAGCAATAATGAGCTTCACTGAGTTTATGTTTTTGCTTATCAAGATCTTCTGGAGATATTCATTTTATTAATTACGCATCTAAAGAGCTTTTACGCCCAAAACTGTTTACTTTAAAGACATACTATAAATTGTATTATTTATTTACCTTTGTTTTTCCTATCTACTATACTTTATGCATTTTGTATCACTGAGACTATTTTTTCAGTGAGGGAAGAAGTATAATTTCTTTTTAAAAATTCTTCTGTGACTATTAATAATGGAAATATTAATTTAAAAAGGCCTAGAACTCGGAGGTACAATCTACGTACACATATATTTTGCTCTTAAAATTTGCAAAATGATTTTGTATTTCTTTAAATTACATTAAATTTGAGGTTATGATGTTCAAATGAAGCATTTTTCAAGAAATATATCTTTTAACTTGCAACGTATGCAAAAAGCATGCCTTATCAGATGACAAACATGTTAATTTACAAATCAAGGAACTCAAGAATCTTTCCTTTTTTTCTTGTCTAAGAGTGATTTAAAACAAAAGATATAAACAAAGAAAATTAACCTAAATTAGATTAAGCATTACCTGTTCAAAAATATTGAAGAATTCTCTGAATAATTTGCTGTTTTTTACAAAAAGCCCACTGAAATCCGCGTGTAGAATATCAGCGATCAACAGGCTGTTCGAATTTGTGTGCACTACGTTTGTTCACTGCCGCAAGGTGATGGTAGTACCGAAGCCCAATAGTGCAAACCAAAAATTAATAAAGAAAAACGAAATTATTTAATAAGGAAAACGAAATTATTAAATAAAGAAAACGAAATTATTAAATTAAAAAAAACGAAATTATTAAATAAAGAAAACGAAATTATTAAATAAAAAAAACGAAATTATTAAATAAAGAAAACGAAATTACTAAATAAAGAAAACGAAATTATTAAATAAAAAACTGAAACTAAAATACGGAATTTATAGATGTGCATGGTAAGGTCCTGAACCCATGAATCATTCTATTGTATGACCTGATTTTGTTTCGGCATTAAAACAAGTGTGATATTTGCATTTACACTCAGCTATTCCCGTATCGATAACATTACCAGTTGGAGTAGACAATCACAATACATGAATAGGGGAGAATTTTACCTTTGGTTATCCAATATGCTTAGATCTATGTTTTTACATTAACATGATTAATGTGAACTTTGACCAGTCTGATGAATTGGCAAGTAATTCGATGACAAGTTTACTTTAACATTAGCTTTCTTAAACCCTCAGCTCAGAAGGTCTAATTATCAGCATACAATGAATCTGGACATGTAACATCAAAGAGATTATGCTAATAAATTGCACAAATATCTCAGATATACATGTCTGTTAAGATTCCGTTGTTTACAACTGCTGAACTTTATAACATTTAGGAAATTCCCATGGCTATACATCATTTTCAATTATCGCACTGTACAAAAATGCTGTAAAATGATAAAATGATACCGATCAGATTTTGCGGGTTTGTTTGACATTATAAAAACTGTTTAAAGAGAGCAAGTGCAAAAATTAAATAAGTCAAAGTGGTCACAATGAGTAGATTTTAATGGTTGCTTACTTTATTAAAATTAAGCAAAACACTTCTATTTTCTTGGTCATTTCAAAGCATAATTAGAAGTGATGCACTAACTATTTGTTCTCACATATTCTAAATGACAAATTCTCAATCTGTATTTATAGGTCAGTGATAGTTGTGAACAAACAATGCAAACACTTGCATAACAAATCCCACAAAGTATTCAAATCATTCTCTTTATTGTTTCAACAACCTAAGATTTATGGGTACACAGATAGGGCGCTAGGTTTAGTTCGGGGGGAATTCAGCAATACGATGCGCAAGGTCTTGACCTTTCAGCGATTCATGAGCTCTTTTGGAATGTCATTAATAAGCAGAAACAGCCATCCTCGCTCGCTACGTCCAGGCTTACAGACTCAAACTTTGACGTTGTGGGGATGCGACACAGCGTCAAATTCCCGTAAAGAAAATCGAACAGTTATGAATCATTTACTTCATAACTGCGAATTATAGGCTGTGGGCACATAATGATTTCTACGTTTGTCAACTTGACATTTATCTAAGTTTTTTTTTTCATTTCCCCCACACTTGTTTTAATGTAGAAACAAAATCAGGTCTATAGAATTACTAAGTGATGGTTTATAACACGTGCGCTTTATGGAATGATTCATGGGTTCAGGCCCTTACCATGCACTTCTATAAATTGCGTATTTTAGTTTCAGTTTTTTTATTTAATAATTTCTTTTTTCTTTATTTAATAATTTCGTTTTCTTTATTTAATAATTTCGTTTTCCTTATTTAATAATTTCGTTTTTTATTTAATAATTTCGTTTTCTTTATTTAATAATTTCGTCTTCTTTCTTTAATAATTTCGTTTTCTTTATTTAATAATTTCGTTTTCTTTATTCAATAATTTCGTTTTTATTTTTTATTTTTTTTTGGTTTGCACTATTGGGCTTCCGTATGATGGACTTGTTGACGGAATGTTATCACTCAAGTGCTATGTACAATAGAATGGTAAATAGCAATGATTTAACCAATTAGAAACACAGCTATTTACAATCAGACTGAATATTCTGAAAGCAAAAATATGAAAAGACATTGCATCGTAAAAAAGTTTTATTCTTTCTGAACAGGTTAAATTTATAAGAAAAATAAAATGAGGAAGAAAAAGGAAGTATAGATTAGTTTTCAGAAAACATACAGCCATCTTGATTGATTACAATTTACTGGTGTTTCATCCAATACCAACCACCAAAATGCTATATTAAAAGGCACAATTTCAAAATTCATTCATATAAAGATAAACTTAATCTGGCAAACAGATAATGAGTTACAAAATAATACAGAAATCGTGTAAAGTTTCACTTAGTTACAAAATATGTTCTAAATGGCGTCATTTTTGCTGAGTCCATTAATCTATCCAATGTAAAAAAAAATTCTCAGTACTAGTGAACAGTGTCTCTGCAAAATGAGCCTGGTCTCAATTTTTGAGCATTTTATTTGGGGAGGGTGTGTGTGTGTTTTATATACTTTTACTTTTAAAATGTCCCCCACAGATAAGAATAAAGAGGATTTAAGTCAGGTGAATGTGGAGGTCAAATGTTCTTGGATTTGAAAGAGATGAGTCGTCCTCCAAACATTTGGGCTGACCAGTCCAAGGTGCAAGATTCAAATCATATTTCAGCATCTACTATACACTTGACTAACTTACTTTTTAGTCAAATTCGTTCACAAGCTCAGTTTTTTTACTTAAGGATTTCATGCAAGTCTCTGAAACGTCTCTAACATTCCCAATGTTTTCATGTGTGCTTAATTGTGTGTTCTTCCAATTTTTCCTTTTCTTTAATCATTAACTTTCCACATGTTCCATTAGCTTCAAAATGTTCAACAACTTTGTACAAATTCCACAATAAATTATCATAATAAGTTCTTTGAATTCTGGATACCTCATCTTCATTGTCCTAATCATAAATACTGGAGACATGCTTTGATAATGCTGTTTAAGAACTTCTGATGTTTCCTTCTTATTACATTCCATATTAAAAAGTCTTCTGTTTTTTCAGTGATGTCAAATATGACGTCATAATTATTTCAAATGATAATTATTTCTCAATTTTTTGTTATTTTATTGATAAAAACTTAAGCACTTTTAGAATAATTTTATATAAAACTTTTATATGATTCTGTTT